CCAAAACCCCAAAACCCCAAAACCCCGCTACAATAAAATAGCATTAATTTTTGAAAAATACATTAAAAGGGATAATTAATAGGATAATAGGTTGCATATTTATTAAGTATTATTTAGCTAAGGCTTATAATTATAGATATGACTGAATCAGGATAACCCAAAATTAAAGATTTAAAAGAAGATCAGGTTCGAAAGCCGGCATGGCTAGACATTTTGCCTTATTTCCTTCCAACCTTATTAATAATCGTAAATATGATCTGCAGCTACCAGTTCAATTTCTTTTCAATCGGCATCTATTTCAGCTTTGTAGTAATTCCTTTGATCGATTCCTACATGATGCCAGAAAATCATAAGAACTTAAAGGAGAAAGAACTAATAGGATTTGAAAAAGATGATAGATTCCTACTGCCTCTTTACAGTCACCTCATTTTGGAATACATTTTCCTATACACCAATCTCTATTATATTAGCTAAGGAGTGATAGGAAATAGTTTTTCACAATTTTTTGGAATTCTTTCGGCTTAATTCTCTGCTGGGATTGTTAGTGGAGTGATAGGTCACGAACTAATACACAAAAAGCCCTTGAGAGATAAAATATTTGGAACATTATTTTACAGTAGATTTTTCTATGGACACTATTTTATTCAACATGTCAGCTCACATCATAAAATGATAGCTACTGTACACGATGCATCATCAGGCAGACTTGGTGAAGGATTTTGGCCTTTCTTTAGAAGAGCTTTGACACAAGGAATAGAAGTAGTGTGGGATTTTGAGAAGAATAGACTTGCTAAGGAAAAAAAGTCTCCCTATACTTTTGAAAACAGGCTATTCTCATTTATCACCGGTCAAACTATTTACTATCTCATGATTTTGATTATTTTCGGCAAAAAGGCTTTCCTGTTCCATGTAGCTCTTGCATCTCTTAGTATGTTCGCCCTTGAAGTTGTCAATTATGTTGAACACTATGGCTTAGAAAGGAAACAAGACAAGAATGGAAATTATGAATCAATATAGAACAAACATTCCTGGAATACACCAGAGTATTTAACTGGAATTATTAACTTCAAATTACAGAGACATTCCGATCATCACAGCAATGTCTACAAACCTTACTAAATTCTCAGCAGTTTTGAGGAAAGTCCAATGATGCCGTGCGGTAACCTCTTAGCTACAACAATCGCTGCCTTCCATCCATCTGACTGGTCTAAATTGATGGATCCATTAGCTAAAGCATATAATGCAAATGAAAAAGTGTCTGAAGAGCAGAAGAAGATTGTTGAAGGGCTGGTACTTAAGCATAACATAATCAATGCAGTATTGATGACATATCTCTGCTTCTTCTGACTGAATTTCAATTATGATTTTTTAAACTTGATTTCATGATCTATTTCTTAATTCCATTTGCGGGGTTTTGGGGTTTTGGGGTTTTGGGG